TTTTTCGCCAGTGCAAGAAAATCTACAAAATAAAATAGCTACCTTTTGTAAACACTTCTGCGTTAATCCAAACGGAAACTACTTGTTAGAAGTTAGATTTACAGATATAAAAATTTGCCTAACGAACAAAAAAATCCTTAACGTTTCGGAAAGTTTATCTCTTTCCGTCGTCGGAAGCAAAAAAAATACAAAGAATAAAGAAAAAATTGTTTAAATTCAAGTATTCGATAACACGTAGTTTTTTAACACAGATACGTCTTCAAAAAACCGTTGACGTTCTGTTAAAATGCTGTTAAAATGATATTATATCAAGTTAAACTTCAAAATTAACAATTACTATACTTGTTTTCACCTAAAATTTCCCAATATGACGGACTTCAGTATGTGAGGCTTAAAAAACGAAAATATCTGGACTGGAATCGACTGTAGTTCAAATCGTTCAAATTGATAATCTGTGGTAAATCTAATTGAACTCTGACACTTGGCTGACTGACGTTTACGCTTCCTTTTTCTAAATATTTTCATTATTTTTTGAGTTTTATTCACAAATTCTACTTGATTTTGTTCTTTTATTTAACCTGCAGCCTGCAGTACTAATTATATACTTATAAATAATCTTTTCACCGATCAAGAACTGAGGAATAGGCTGGAAGATATTAAAAAAATGTGCAAAACGCTTAAAAACGTATTAGAAAACATTGACTCGTCGGCAAATTCGTGAAAATAAATTAGTCCAGATGTTTGTAAAAAGGTCTCTAATTATTTTGAGAAGTTTCCTCGTATCAGTAATTTTCAGGTTTGTAATATGTATATGATAATAAATAGATCAAAACTTATATTAATTTCAGGAAACAGCGCGGGCATTACAGATTGTTGTAAATTAGTTTTAAAATATAAAGAAGGTTTAAAACAGGTTTAAAAGTTGAGTTAGTAGAAAAGACCTAAATAAGGTAATGTTGGTAATGGGACAAAAGATCAAATAACACTTGAAATATATGTATAATAGGTAAAGCACAGAATATCTAGCTACGCAAGCTAGATATTCTGTGGTAATAGGTACAATTGTAAATAGTTTTTATGAATCTATTTGATATCTTGTTATCTCATTGTTTTCATATTTCTTGAAATATATATTTTTTTTTACTTTACAGGATACACAAACAATAATAAAAAATACAGTTACTCACTAAAAGCACTTAAGGTTTGTAATAGATGTAGTTAGAATATCAAACACCAAACCAAACCAAAAATTATGTTTTATTTTACTGTTATTCCTCACATTTGAAAGGAAAGTCATTTCATAAATAAGCAGAAGGACATCGTATAGTACACTCTACATATATTAATAATTCTTTTTTTATCCTATATTTGTTAGTTGACGCATCACTAGGTATAAAATTTAGTACTGATTCCAGACCTATAGTTGTGGTTGTGACATATTCTGATGTGTTTCTGGCAATTTAAAATAAGTTAATATTTAAACAAACATTTCTGGCTTTCCTGACAGTAGTGTGAACACAAATTTAATAAAGGTATAATGTGGATAATGTTCTGATTATTACAGTTTGCATGGATGACTGTTTTTGTATGTTGTTATTTTTAATAAAGTATATTTAATGTGTTTTTCAGTATTTCTTTTTCCCTCAGAGGATTGTGTGTTCTAATCTTTATATATAAATTTTCATAAATTATATCTACAAAATTTATTACCCTATAACTTTTTGCTAAACACTTTGTAGTTGATACAGTTTAACAGTATATAAAAGAACTATTTAAATAAGATGTTTGAAAATATATAGCTGTTTTTGTACACATCAATTCAATTTGTGATTAACTGTACTGAAATAAAAACAAATTAAGAGAAATGGGGTGATCTATCAACTATAACATGAAACGCATCATCCTATTTCCAAGTCTTCTATTAATTTCACTTATTAAACAACTATTTTTATTCAATAACCTTGATAATTCTAGGAACTCTCAGATATCGTCAAAACATGAAAACAAAATTAACTTTTATAGTTCCTACCTCCCTTTAACTGAAATATAAGAAACAGAGGGGAGTTAATATTCTGACTGAGAAAGTTTATCAAATACCTTTTAGTAAAATCTCTTCGGATCTGCGGTAAAATACCTTTATTCTTATTAAATAGTTTCAATAATCTATGTTTTTATTTATGATTTATGACAACCACCTAATAACCTAACTATAACGCCAACTTGACAATCCCAATGTTATTGTTAACCAAAGAGTAAATCAATTTCTGAATTCGCTAACGTCAACTTATTTTTCATCAAAAAAAATTACCAATTTTCGTAACTAGGTCGGCCATATTGAGGAACTTTTAAAAGAATTGTACTATACCTGATAACAATTACTTAATAAGGAAAAACCAAAGAACCCCAAACTTTCTGTATGATTATTTTTAATTTTTACGTATGTTATGTTTATTTATTTATGTTCTTTAAAATCAAGGAAGCGATTGCCATATATTACTAACATCTACAGATGCAGGAGCAATACATTTATTTTTATTAGATTGTATTAAAAAAGCCTCTTTTATTTTTCTTTTAGAGGCTATCGTTTCTTTCATTATAATTTTGGCGTTATTAAAATTTATTCTGTGTCCTGTGTCCCATGAATGCTGACAACTCTTAGATTTGTGACCATCCCCCTTTCTTAAAAAATCTTGATGTTCTTTAATTCGAATATTTAAACGAAAAAAAAAACGACGGAAAGAGATAAACTTCCGAAACGTTAAGCATTTTTTTGTTCTTTAGGCAAATTTTTATATCTGTAAACCTAACTTTTGACAGAAGTGCTGGGACACCCCGTATATGTACTTTTATGTTCGACAAATCAAACATAATTTCCAAGAGAACGAGTTCTGTCGATGTATTATCGGCTCTTTACAAAAGTTATGACATATTTTGATGGCACAGCTTAACGTCTAATTTCGTGACTATTGCCCTTCTCGACTCAACTTGTGTTGAAGGCGTTGCTAACGCAAATATAAAGTTTAGAGGGTGCTAAAACTTTTACTACAGATATATTATAATTGCTTCAAATTTGTTTGATCAGATTTTCTCTTCAACATTTCAGGGAAATATTGTGCTTGAATTTATCTTAATAAAATCTACATTGTTACTTTACAAAAATGTGTGATTACATTTATAGAAAAAAATTGGAAATTTCTTGAATATGAATCATGAATGTTTCTGATTATAGTTGTTCTTCTGATGGTAAATGGCCAAGCAAGAAAGTGGCAAGAAAAAGGAGCAAAAGCATGTTTTTTATTCTTAACCCAGATTAACAATAAAAAAACAAACAACAATTCACGGCGGATCTCGATCAATTTCAGGAAACGTGGGAACTAATTTTTTAACACGGGCTTATATTTTGTTTATCGTACTATTTTGTGAAATAGAATATCCCTGCCACACACATTTACTTTCTGTGGACATTGCGTCCTTGTTTCGACAAACCTGTGTTGGTTTTCTTTGTTCCAATATCGATAATTTTGAACATTGGGTTCATTATTTAAGGCAAACGTGCATTCGTCAGTGAAACATATGTTTTTTAAAAATTCCCTATCCGTGTTTACCCTTTCCATCATATCAAAACAAAACGCCTGCCGCCGTATTTCGTCCCCATCTCGTAGCTCTTGGTGCTTTTCATATTTGAAGGAATAGTATTTATGTCGTTTCAAAATTCAAAACGCTGTAGTGTGATCTATTCCTATTTCATCCTCAAGTTTCCTTGTGCTGATTGATCTTTCAAACGTTCTCTTCCACGCACAATAAAACTTCCAAGTCGGTATCATTTCTTGCATCTTCTCTTTGTTCCTGCCTTGCTTCACATCTGCAGTTATTTATTAGGGTACCTTTGGTCTCAAATCTTTGGCTATTCCTTGCGATTGTAGATTTTCCAGGTATCGGCCTATTCGGATACAGAGCAGCAACCATGTCCGACACCTTTTGATAACTATTTCCTTGATAATACCATTTCATCATCACTACTTTTTCTTCGGTAGTATAATTCATGGCTAATATTTTCGATGTAGGTATGAGTTTTTAATAATAATAATAAAGCACTAAATAGATACATTTCTGAAATTACAACTTCATTTGACAGTTATCTTTTACCTTGACTGGTGTTCATAAGTAAATACAGGGCCATAAGAAAGGAGAAATATTTAAAAAGAAATCGGCGATAACTCGTAAACGAGCTAATCAAAAATATCTAAAGTTATTCTTTTGAATGTGGGTTTTAGTGCTCTTCAATAAACCTAAATAGAATTATTCACTAAAATAATTAGGGAAGCCAATAATTGACCCCATTAAAATTTACATGGGATTTCCTATGTCCCGTCCGATGATGCAACACCCGGTATAGTTTTATATACTAATTCATTATAATAAAATTAAGTCATGAAAATATTGTAATTATATTCCTGCAGTTTAAGTGCAAAGTTTTGTCCCTAAATATCTACTATACATTAATTCTGTGGAATATATATCAATATAACATAAATCGAGATATAATTAACGAAATATTATCGTAACAAACGTCTAGGTTTACTTATTTCACTGAGATTTATGAAAAAAAATCCTTTGCCTCCGGTACAGATACCGCTACGTTTTGGAAATAGCTCAAAACAAAACAGAATTGAACGAGGCAACAAAAAACGCAAAAAAATCCCCCCTCGCCCTCCCCACGAGTAGTTTTCAGGCCCTTTTAAGAATCGAAAGTAGGTCGAGGTACATAATAGAAGGAAAGATAAAGGGGCAGAAGGAGCCAAGGAAGAAGAAGAACATCATGGCTCAAAAATTTGAGAGAATGGTTTGGAATGACTTCAAACCAATTATTCAGAGCAGCCGTTAAAATTAGAATTGCCATGATGATTTCCAACCTCCATTAGGAGATGGAACCCGAAGAAGAAAAAAATAATAAAATATAAAGAATACGTGGCTGCAAATAAAAATATTCTGTGTCTTACCTTCGGGATAATAGTGCTGTTTGATGGTGGCCGTGTCCACGTCTCTTCTCCGAAGCGCCGGTATATTTCGATGTAGCGAGTGCAGTTCTCTATCACAGATAACGGGAAAGGAGTCCTCGTCCTCGGGAGGCCTGAGCACCGGCGTGCCCCGATCTGAAACAACGACAAAGAAAACAATCTTATTTTCTCGTTAGACAAGCCGAGAACGTTTCCAGTCGAAATAAACGATGTTCATCTCGCACTGGTTTATTTTTCGCGCTTTGCTTCTGCAAAGAGATTGTTTCGTTTGGGAAGGAGATAGAGTCGTGGTCTCTTGGGTCAGTTTCCAGATTTGTTTTTTGTATCTTGCAGTAAATTATGTTTTGGATTGGCGATAGTCAGTAACAGCGCGTAACTTTTTATAATATGTAAAATATAGTAGACTAAATATGCACATTGATTTGTTTTGACACAACATATACAATAAACATAAACAAACCCTCCGCCGTGTTTCGGAAAGTATTAGCCATAGAATGGGCGGAAAAATATTTATAATTAAAGATAAAGGGTACTATAAATAATGGCATCATAATCATTAGCAAATTTCAGACTTTTTTGTTTGAATTTTTTTGACCAATCTTCTAAAATGAAGTGGTGGGTGAAGGTTAGATCTATTTTTTTAATGTTAATAATTCTGGACTGAGTAAACGACATCCAACAAACTAGGTTCAATGAGTTTATGATATTTATTAACAAGTTCATATACAGACCGGACCACCGCACAGTGCTTCGAACATATGGCTCTAGAGGACAAAAATCCAAAACTTCTCTTTTATTGTAAGCAATTTATTCAAACTAGGTTTATCTGACACAAATGATGAGTACTCTCATTGTACTAAATGATGATGTTCTTAGTCCCACGTTTATGAAAAAAAATCTTATAAATAATAATAATGTTGGAGCTGTGTTCCATCTAAGCAAATAATAAGTTTTAGTATGAAAACGGTGTAAGTATTAAATAAATTCCTGTGATAAAAAAGAATTGAAATAACATTAGAACATGATTCCTACAATATAAGCCTAATATAAGATAAAAATGTTTTTCTTTAATGAAAAAGAAACATTAATGTTATATTTAATTAAAAAAAAACTTAAGATACTATAAATTTAATTTAGGACAACAAAATGCATAGATCGTAACTACTCTGATTCAGGAGAATCACTGCTGACAGAATCTTCCAAATTTATAGTATCCAAATCACACGTAGATGAAGTATCCTCACATATAAGATATTTCTGTACATCATTTTCTAATATGTTACTTTTTCGCGTTGTTACTGTTCATTTTGTCGGTATGAGGGGTTCGGATGTTAATAGTTACCTCTTTAATAGACCATATCCATATATTATTTTTCCTTTTCTTGGGTATGAGATTTTATAATAAATTGAAAGATGGACACTTTTTTTATGCGACGTTTCGCTCCAACATAGTGGACTTTTTCAGGCACAAGTGGTGTCTCATTTGACTGGAAGGTTCATCAATATCTAATAAGAACATATTTTTTGAAATACAAATAATTTTGAGTTCTTGTCCTTATGATCAAGCCAAGTATTAGCCAGATCTGAAAAGTATTATAAAATAAAGTTCGTCGCAAGCAGACGCAGGTGAACTATACAAAAATTAAAAGTGTATGAATATGGCAACAAAAATATTCAATAAATACGATGTTTTGATATGTTTTTTTTAAATGCCTTTTTGAAGTTTGAAAACGTAAAATTTTTATACCCATTTAAGAATCATCTTAAAAAATAAATAAAAACTAAACAATCACGAACTTGTAGTTAACTGTAGTTACGCCAATAACTCTGTGATGATTCTGAATCATTGTCGAAAATATATCATTCGATTTCCACTTGAAATATCTAATTTAATCGATAGAAAAGCGAGAAAAAGTAGAATTCATTCACGAACAGTAACGGTTCGACCTCTTTACCGAAAAATAACCACGCTCCAGATAAAACTTATTATTCGTTGAGACCGATGCCACTGCAACCGACAATCTTTATTCCCCTTTTTTGTCCCGAACAGACGTCCGCTTTCAAATCGGGAACAGTCGATTCCGTAAGCGATACATATTCTTGCTGTTCGCTGGTTTCGATGAGAGCCGAAGTTTTCCAGTCCACTCGAAAATCCGACGAATTGTTTTATCAGATTCGTTCTCGAAAAATAACAATACTGTGAAAATGAAATCTTGGTTTTAAAGTGGAAGAAAAATATTTATTTTTGTTTTACAGCGTTTTTTTTCTCTTATTATTACAAAGAGTGGAGACTGGCCGAAGTCTCAAAGGTAAGTGTGTCTGCTGTCGACATTCCTAGCCGACACGTTGATTTTATTTATTTAAATAAAGATATTTATTTATTTAAATAGAACAAGCAGCACAGATAAACATCTTTTACCAACATGCTGATCTCGTGGTGAGACAATAGTGTACTATAACGATGCGACGCGGAGGCTCCAAGGAGAACGACAGTTTGTATTGAAATGAAATTTTGTGAGCATATGTAGGTTAATTTAGAGCACTTTTTAAAAATATAGAGAGTTCTACAGGGTGTCCCCAAAAAAGTTACATATCAAAGTTGTGTTTTTTTCTAATGGAACAACCTATATAAATATATTAATTGATATTCGGATTCTGAGAGAAAAACAAAGGTGAGTTTTATAAAAGAAGTATATGACAAAAATGTAAGGTTTAACATTTTGTAAAAATAAAGAACATTTTTTAAATTACAATAAAAGCTACCTAAATTGGAATTTACCATTATTAACTATTGTACTTTAAATCAAATTAAAACTTGATTCAAAAAGAAAGTTATACAGGGTGAGACAAAATTAATATTGAACATTGGTCACCTTTAAAAGCATATAATAAAAGCACCTCTTTTATTTTAAAATGAACACCCAGTATATTTTTCCGATATTCAGTGGAGACTTCACGTACCTTAAATAGTTTCAGGGGAAGCAACCTTAATAGTATTTCTTCAAAATACTATTAAGGTTGCAACCTTAATAGTATTTTGAAGAAATACTATTAATGTTGCTTCCCCTGAAACAAAGATTTTCCTAGATATCTTCATTTACATTATTTACATTTAAAATCTAGGTGGCTGGTGATATGTCGGACGGTACTTCAACATAGCTGTCTAATTGGTCCAACTTTAACAACTAGTTATCATTTTGTGTCAGTTAAAACACAAAAAAATTATCTTACATCAGAGAGAATTAATAGAGTACTTAAATGCTCCTGATTTTATCTAGTCTGGTTTTTTTATGGGGATATGTTAAAGACAGTGTTTACAAAACTCGACCAACTATTGTCGACAAAATGAGAGAAATTATTGTAGCTGCTTTTCGAGGCAGAACTCCACATATGCCTTTTAAAATGAAAAGATCTTTTGAAAAGATAATCATTTTATGCAGTTAACAGGAAAGGAAACATTTTGAGCATTTGATTTCATCTAGCTAATTTTTGTCACATAATAATTATAGGTTTATATCTCGGTTTATATCTAGTTTTAATTCTGTAATAATTAAAATATGTTTTAAACTTTATTACTTACTATCTTTCTATTACCGTTGAGTATTTTATTATACATCCTTTAATTTTTGTTAAATTAACAAAAGGTATATCACAGCCATCCCTAGATTTTTTCAAATCTACTGACGCAAAATCATAAAAATTTAAATATCTAGGAAAATCTTTGTCTGAGGGGTAGACAACCTTAATAATATTTTGGAGATATATAAATTTCCTATTGAACACCGGAATAATATACTGAGTGTTCCATTTAAAATAAAGGAGTAACTTGCTTTTAAAGGCTAATATTCCATATTAATTTTGTCTCACCCTGTATAACTTTTCGGGTGAAATTTCAATTTGATTTAACATAGAATGGTTACTGTAATTAAATATCATGCTATACGAGGTCAATTAAAATTTAGGTAGCTGTTATCGAAATTTAAAATTTACTCTTCATTTTCACAAAGCGTGAAATATGTCAAAATCCTTAGATTTTTGGTATATGATTTTTTAATAAAACTCACCTTTATTTTTTCCTAGAATCAAATCAATTAATATATAGGGTGTTCCATTAGAAGAAACACAACTTTGCTGTGTAACTTTTTTGGGGACATCCTGTATAATTCTATATATTTTTATAAAATGCTTTCAGTTAACCTACATATGCTGCCAAAATTTAATTTCGATATAAACCACCTTTCTCCTTGGAGCCTCCGCGGCTTATGAGAGGTGCCACCCTGTAGAGACAATGAGAGGCAATGCAAAAAAAATAACCAGGACAGACTGGCATACCATACCGAAAACCAAGAGCACGACGACGGATAGAAATACCTACCAAAAACATGGTCACCATCGAATTTATGATACCCTGTCTAAAGCATGATATTGTTAGAACGAAGGATCTACATTCTCAACATTGAGAATAATTCTCTTTGCCTCTAACGCACCATTTTCAATTATCCTACCTATTTCAATTGACGACAAAGATCGTAAATAAGCACCGATGGGGCCCTTTTTAATTTCCACATCGTCGCAATTACCCCGTTTCCCCTCATGCTCGTCCATTATGGTCGCAAATTAAAATTTTCACGGAAACTTCTCCATTCCACCACAACACGGCGTGTCCCTTGTTACGCTCATTTAGGGGTGGTTAGGGTGGCAGCCCTTAATTATGAAAGGAAATTTATTTTATCGCTTTGACGGAAAACCAGCCGAGCAGAGGCAGGAAAATACGGTTTGTTTCCGGTGAGTTTTTCTGATTGTTCTCGATTCGTAATAAACGGGAATAAAAATGCAAAAAGGACAGTTTTTTTATTTAATTACATCGTTTAGATATCGTGTAAATTACACAGGTCAGTCATGGATCAGGTGTTTCAGTAGCGTATTTGGCAGTGGCGGCTCGTGATTATTATTGTATGGAGGTCAATGTCTAAAAATATTGTGTCGATTTTTTTTAAGATGCGCTCAAATTTAATTGGTTTCTTACAAGGTACTTGTACGTTTAGTTAAAGGAAAATAAGTCTAAAAATAAATACAAATTCTGTTAAAATGAAACCGACTCTTACATTTTTAAACAGGTGGTCTAGTTCCATTTC